ACAGGTCACCTTATTATCCAGACATCAAATACAGACTGGAGATAAACATTTACAAAGTCATAACCTTAGCTCTGTTCTCATGGTTCCCTCTTTGGCCAAGATTTTTGTCTTTATGTTCTCTAGGGGTAGCAGGCTCATTCCTGTGCCAAAGAGCAGCATGCTTTCAGATCCCTGCAAGGGGGGTTGGTTGTTGCTAATAGATCCCGCTGTGAAGGTATGTGTAGCCACATAGAGCATCTGTACAGTCAAGATGCATCATCCTGCATGGAGGAGGAGATGTAACCAGCCAGAAGGCAGGCTATGTGTGTGCAAAGAGAGATTTGCCACCATGCCAGCACCTCTGAGAGCAGAGGGAGTCTGAATTTTTAATGGCAGATTTTGCCTGTCATCACCCAGTTTGTGACCCATCAACAGAAATGGTTAAGCTAGCAGAGGAATGAGATGAAGTTATTTGTTAATCACTATTGTTCATGACCCTGGAAAGGCAGAAAATGGGACAGGCATGACAGACATCTTCACGGATAAAGGAAGTGGGACAGACATTTAGTAAGTCAGGATAAGAAAGCACCTCAGCTCTATCGTACATTTTTCTGCTTCGATAGTCAGTAACCACCTTCCTGTGCCTGACAGTCTCAGAAATAAAAAGAAGAACCCAAATAAGCATTTCAGATCAGATTTGATCTTCTGGGTTAAGACTGGCCCACTCAATCTCAGCCCTTACTTATGGCAATAGTGAAAAGTGGCAGAAGAGTAGAGGTCAGTGTAGCCCTCTCAAGACCTGATCCAGCACCACAACTGTGATTAAGTCACCTGTGCAGGAACTTCCTCCCTTCTGAGCTGACCTGCACATGTGTTTGTTCCCTCTGAGGTATATACACCTTGCTCAATAGAACAAAAATTAAAAACTCAGGGATAAATCCCTCACCCAATAGAATAGAAATAGAAAATCCCTTCTACCCAGAGATTTCAAATTTCTGGACAGCCCTGAATTTGCCTTTGTTTGGGGGATAAACTGCCTGTGGTGAACAGTTTCTCACTCTTGGTCTTTACTAAAAAAGATAGCAAATTGACACTTGCCATTAATGCTTCAGTGCTGAAAGGGGAGGATTTTCCTTTCAAGCACTGAAGGGGAACAGATGTCTATAGAGTGTTGTTTCTGCTGTACACACATATCTACTAACACGTCAATGTGTAAAGGCTTGCTCACCTCATGTCCAGAGCAGGATTAAGCATTCCCTGGAGCTGCTTTGACCTAGGCGATCAGTGGCTGGAAGGCTGGCAAAAGGACCCAGGTTGTGGGATGTCCTGGACAAGGCAGATTCAAAGTCATTTGTGCTCAGTTAAACCTATTAATTTCCAGGAAGGCTTAATCTACTTCTGAATAGCAAGTGCGATCCTATAACTCTGAGGTGGGCAGCCAAAGGGCAAAAGAAAGTTCCTGGATGCTGACAGTGTTCTTGTGGTGTTGCCAGCAGCTGCAGAGCTTCCATCATTTTCTTTCCTCACAAAATGAAACTGATTCTGCTACTAGCTGCAGAACCAAGCTGGGACCAAAGTCATTTTACCAAAAGAAGCAATACAAGAAAGAATAACTTAAAAAGACAAGTAGGATCAGAATCTGGAAGGGAAAGGTGTGAGGGCACTGGGGTCTGTGTTCGCATCATCTCATGGGGCAAGGGTGTTCCTTCCCAGGTGATGGGCACCCATATCATCAATTCTTTTTCCTTATCGTCATAACTGTTGAAACTTGCTTCAAACATTTTTCTTTTGCTCCTTAACTCTTGATTCCTTGTCATCCTCCTCCATGGTGCCACTGTGAAATGGCGATTGGTTCATAGTGACAAATGTATTCCCAGCCTGGGGGACAGATTCTGGATGTTTGGTGCCCATGTTATAGAATGCAGTATTTAGTAATGGGTACTGTGCACACTGCACTCATAAGACAGGTGGAAAAGGCACCAAGGCAGGTTAGACCTGAAGGTCTGGATAGTTATCGTCTCCATCAGCCCAGAGCAGAGCCTAGGGAAAGACAGCATAAGAAACAGGACAGCTGCTTATCTTCCAGCTTTTGGCTTTCAATAGGTTGGCTACTTCCTAAACCTCTTGATGCTTTTAATTACTACTGACTGGATGGCAGGGCTGGTCCTAGTACAAAACTCCCTAGTTGCCCCAACAAGCACCTGGCCTCCATCAGCTCCAGGGGGGTTAGCTTGGGCTGTGGGAAAAGAAAGAAAAGGAGGGGGGAAGACTGGCTGAGGAGAAAGGGTGCATGGGTGAGGAGCAGGCTGGGTGAGTGAGGAGCAGGCTGGGTGGGTGGGGAGCAGGCTGGTGCTGGAGGAGGCTCTGGGGAGGCCACTACCACGGTGCAGCACAGCTGTTGTGGCCGTGAGGTTCATCCCCTCATCGGACAAACTGCAAATGCCTCTTTGTGAGGAAGGGGAAGGTGAAGGAGTCACAGGAACCACTGCACTGACTCTGGAGCAGGAATGCCTCAAAGCCTCCTGGCAGTCTGGTTGTACTGTCCAAACCAATTTCCATTCTTGTAGAGGGTTTATTTACTTTTAAGAAAAGTATTTGAAGCAGCCAGGGAGAGAGCATGAACAGCAGACTCCTCCATCCCAGCCCTCTTCCAAAGCCCCATTGGCTCCTGAAAGGTTCAGTCCTGGCAGTGGAAGTGTCTGGTCTGTGACACCCATGTGAGTGAAGGGTCAGTTTCCCCCTGGAGAACAGGCAGGAGAGACTCTGAGGTGACCCCACTGCCAGTGCAGCACTCAGTGCAACAGCCTGTCAGCACCAGGTGTGTTCTCCTGCACAGCCTCTGTCCCTCATGCATCCCTCTATTCCCAAACACCAGAGCAGTGGATCTTTC